CATTTTTTATTTTTGTCTTTTTTTTCATATTTATTGTTATCCTCTTAAACAAAGAAAACTTCAAATTGAACTTTTGTGGAAATTGAATGCCCATACCTGTAAGCACTGCTTTAACCATTGCTTGTTTTCCTCCAATTTTTCCCTCTTGACAGAATGGCAGTTTAGGTCACTGATTTAAAATAGATGTTTAAAAATTTGATTAAAAATCACACAAGTAATAACTTATTTTTACATGTACCTACAAGTATAAATGAGTCCTGCATTTTGGTAAGGGATGAAGTGCAGTTGTCATGACAATAGAAATTAAACTAGGGCATATTTTTTCCTTTTCCTCAAATTTTAGCTAAGCCATCATTACCTCCTGGAGTTTTGCCATTAAACACTCTTTATGGAATGCAGCAAGGCCTTATTCATGCTTATGTAAGTATACCAATAGACTGTTTCCAAGGAAATTTATTTTGTGCTTATTATTGGTGCTATTTTATCTTGCAGCCCCTTCCATATGGTTACGAAGATCTTCAAAGACTACAAATGGTAATTATTGTAATTATGCTTCATAAAACAGTTCAGTTCAGATTTCATTATTTTATCATGTCTCAGAAATAAGTGAACTTTAATATTGCTCCTTAAATCAAACCTTTTTGACTAAGGGAACAGACTCACTTAGGATTGTGCTATTGAAATATCAAATTACATCACATAGAGAATCTATAACTACAGAGCAGTGGTAGTTCATGGAATGTACTAACACATTTGCTCTTTATCTGCAGTCACAATACTATGACATGCCTGCTTTCCAAGCAGCTGGTAGGGATGGCCTGTCAACAACATTTCATGGTAAGACACTTCTGTATTCCAGAGAGGTATTCATCAAAGGATGTGAACCACTCTTGCTAGGTAGCAGGTTAGCACCCTGGTCGTCCTAGTGAGGGAATCCTTTTGACTTGTCTGATGGGCATTTAGGGGCAAGTTCGATATGAAATAAATCACCAACAAAGGAATAACCAATCCCAAGGATCTGAATGGCACAAGATCCCATTGTGGATCACTTTGGAAGTGAAAAGGAAGGGAAACAAAGAATAGGACCACAGCAGATTTGAAAATTGACTTCCCATGGATGTTTTGTTTAAAATTTTATTTGTGACTTTTTAAGAGTATGGGTTTGATGTGCTCTTTGATTTAGACTCAGTTTCTTCCATCAAACTTTTCAGGAAGGCTCTGTTTAAACTCACTGGGAGCTTATCATTTCTGTGCTCATGGGTACTTGAACACTTTATTTTTGTTTGTTAGGAGATCAAAAGTTTGGGCGGACTGATACATCCTCTCCAGTTCCTTCATCCCTGAACCAAGCTGTGACCCTTCCTCAACCTCATCTTCAGCAGCAGGCCTTTATAAATGCAACAACTATGCCACATCCTTATGGTTATGGTGGACTAGCATTCTACCCAGGGGCTGGAATGATGGCAGGGGGCTTCCCTGCTTACACTGCTCCTATGTATCAGGTAAATAGGGTTGCATGATTCAAGTTATGAGATTGGTGGTAGGGGAAGGGAACTCTTGAAAGTTGGACTGGAAAACAATTCCAATTTGCATGTCCTGTCTTTGTAAAAAAAATAAGCAAACAAAAACAGAAATTCCCCAAGTAATTTTGGGTAATTTTAATATTTTTTAGCATTAAGTACATTTTAAAGTAGTCTCTGACAGGAGAGTAAATTGTTGTTATCTGGTAAAGAATATGGAGGATAACAGTATCTTTTTCCAGAGAAGACAGAGATAACTGAAAATGCTGGGGAATGAATAAAAGCAGGATCTGAGACTTTATTCAAATCATACTGACTCTTCTTCAACAGATGCCAACAAAAACTCATGGGAATGCATCTCAGTATCAGTCTGGTTACACCTCAGGTCAGCATGGCAGTTATACATTTGCATGTGATATGTTAGTTATCCACCTGGTATCAGGTCTATTATAAATCTTGGGATTTTTTTGAAACTCAGATACTTCTGAATTGAAGTACTTAATATCTATTTTTTTTAATTTTTTGAAGCTTTCACTGCCTATTGTCAAACTACTCCTGTCTTTTTCTAGTTGGTTGTCTACAAATTAAACAGTTTTATTTCTTTTGCCTCTAGGGTATGATGATTTAGGTCAGACACATGACTTTGGGAAGTCTGGTTACCACACTTCAGTTTCACCATCGCAGAGTAAATCTAATTCAGGTTTGTGACTTTCATATTAGTTATTTAGTACTGGTAATATTAAGAGATAATTTATCAGTTGTACACAGTGAGTTGATGAATCAGTTCAACTGAGGAATATCAACACATCCATCTGATAATTTTTCTTATTGATAAGATCATTTTTTGCACATGTTAAGCTTATGAAATTTTTTTCTGTTGACAGGTCCAGCTGTAAGTAGTGCTTCAGATCTCTCAGGAGCTTCTTACAAACCCCAAGTTGGAAAGGTAAAATATTGTTTATTTGCAGTGTTCAAAGTAAATGATGATAAATTTATTTATTTGTTAAGGAAGGAAATTCACTGGGTTAGTAATCAGATGTTTCTTTGGCCACATTTCTCTTATTTATCTGTGAAACTTTCTTTAGAAGACAGTTAAGGGTTATGTCAAAGGACCCAACAATAAAATGTTTGCAAATACACTCAGTGGAAGATTCAATTCCCACCTACAAATAACATTTATGCAAGTGTTGGCATTCTCTATTATTAGGTGCTTGTCAGTATCGCAAATATTAACCTCTTATCATTAGGCAACTTTAACTAATGGGTCAAAAGTGGTTTAGTTTGTAATGACCATTTTTTTTGCTTATAGTAATGTGAAATACTTTGTTCCTTTTTTCAGTTCAATGATAACAAACCATTTATGGGTGGTACACCTCCACCACCAGCGTTAAATCTGTCCATGACAGGACAGCATGGTCCTTTGGGAAGCTATCCACATACAGGACACCCATTCATGTCAATGATGACCCCTGTACAGCAACACCACCCACCGTCCCACTACCACCACCATATGCCTCATCATATGGAAACAGGCCAGCCTGGATCATCTCAGAGAGGGTCTCAAGGACAGGGGCCTAAACAAGGGCAGAATAAGGGTCATCAGGGTGGCTACCAAGGATCAGGGTTCTGGTCTGGAACAAATTGAATGGAGCTTACTGTGATTCACTCAAACTGAATTGTTTGCAGTGTAATATTGATGTGGTGCTGGTCTGTTCCTCCTAAGCTAGTGTGAATTGTGTTCCCTAAGAGTAAAGTTATTTCAAGACCTTTTAGGATGTAAATGATGTGTACAGGCCCCCCTTAAGGAAAAAACAAGCATGTAAATGTGTTTTGCAATAATTTAATGTTTTCTTAGGTAGCCACAGCAAGCATTTTACAGATTGTAATCTTTGAAATAAACATGGATAATTTACAATGAAAGTAGGGATATTTTGTTTTGTCTTTAAAAAAGCACAAATTTGCTGATGAGTTCAAATTTAAGCTCATTATGTGGAAGTGTACTGAATTTATTTTCGACAGACAAGTCAGCTTTTGGACTACCTCTTCACACTTGCACTGTGCTTTAGTTCTAATCAAACTTGCTTCCCGTTCTCCTAATTATCCCCTAATCTATCAGCATCCGTTCCTCACTCCATGAACAGCTGAAGAGAGCAAACACCATTCTCAAGGCATCAAACCAACAACCTTAAAAGCCAGTTAAAATAGTGAGTAGTTTATGAAGCACATGTCTATTCCTTGAATTGCCACTCCTGCCTGCACATCGGGCACAGCTGTTGATGCAGCTGCGAGTTTAGCCATTTAAGAATACAGTGCATGTGAAAGACATGAGAACAACGACCCCAAACTGAAAGAGGAAACGGATAGTTGAGTCTTATAAAGGTATCTCTTGGTTCAAGATCACATGTCATGAGAAAGTATCACCTGAATAGTCATATTTGTATTACAAGTATTGATTTCAACAATTATGTCCTAACCTGAAGTGAGAGCTGAAAATACCATCACTTGCAGAGTAATGCAGCTTGCTTGAACAAAATGTTGTGATCTTACCTAAAGGACAGTCATCCCCTGGTATCTTGCAGTCTGGACAACAGCCATCAAATGCCATGCGACAAATACCACAATTGTCATCATTGGCAACCCAGCGCCATGTGGCCACACCAATCCACCTGGGGAACATGATCACATTTCTGTCTGAGTGGGTAATTTAAGATCAAGTAACCCTTCACAAGCTACAGCCATTCACAGGCTTAAGGTTATTCCAGTTTTCTTGGCCTAATATCACTACTTACTAACAGTACCATTTTGTACTACATTTTACTTGAAAGTTATACAAACCCTCAACTGCATCTTGGGTTTGCTTATCTTTGGATTTCTCCTAAATCCCCTCATATCTCCATGAGACTGATGCATCCTAGACACTGTTACATGTAATGTGGGTGGCAATGACAGAAAGGGTACTTTGGTCACAACTTTCACTACAGCTGGTAGGTGGGAAACAATCTTAATCATTTTCAATAAAGTACAGTAGACCTAAGCCAAACATGAGGGGAAATCTCGCCTTCCCTGTTCCACATAATCATCATCTTAATACAAAAAACTCTTCCCCTATCATTTCACCTAAATTTTTTTGACAGATGATAGATAATTATGGTTGCTAATTCCCTCTTAACATCGAAATGGCCTCAAGAGCTATGTGGTCCGAATAATAGGAGTATTAAAAGCCAAGTTGTTTGTACTCACTCTGAATGGTGACAAAAGGATAAAATTAAAAGAATCAGCCATTTGATGAATTTTTCGTGCAACAGCGGGATCAAGAAGTATGCCATATCATAAGAGAAAAGAAAAAGCACATTGCAAATACTTAAGATTTAAAAATTATTTCCATCTAATAAAGCATGAAACAAAGTCAAATTAGGTTAAAGTTTCGCGAAAAAGGCCACTTACGCTTTACTTTGACTTTCATACTCTGCCACTTTCAAAATGGCCGCGGGAACTCTGGACCCAGGCTCTCTCTCCCAATTAGTAAGAACGCCTGGCCAATTTCGACATTTCGATGGCAAGGGAAAAGTTTCTGCCATGATTGCATTTCGACGCATTCGTTTCCTTAAAAACTTTAGTGTAAGGACTGTGGCATTCTACTCTGTTGTTTCCAGTAGAAGTAGCTTGATTCTGTCTGCAAGTAGAAGATCACATGTTGGGCTGCTGTCGAAAAGACTTCAGGTGAAACCTTCCGTGGTTTAGCTTCTTCTTTTATTATTTCCAGCTGTTTCTTTTGCAATCAAATTGACCTCCTTTCAAACTTTTCACAACAATTTGAACAATTTCAGCTTGACCAAAGAAGGATTTCCCTGACAAGAGCGTTCAGTACCGAAAGGTTTGTATCCTGGTTAGTTCATTCCAATGTAAAATATTAGAATGTGTTTTTTTTAATTACTCCTACAATATGAAATTCTCCGTGCCTGTTTCTATGTCAGAGATAACTGGAAATTGCACTTTGATACTTTCAGCACCCTAGATGAGTTATCTTACCACAGTATCGCAGATGAGACACTGGATGCCATAGCTGAGTTATTTGATGACCTTGGTGAAAGCCCATCAAGCCCTGCTGACTATGATGTCCAGATGAGTGTGAGTGTCAATTGAGTTATTATAGATCAATGTTCATGTATTGCACAATCCAGTGGTTCACAAAGTGACTTAGCATTCACTTTCCTTGATGACATTTTTCTCCTGCAGAGAAAAGGTACAAGGAACCAAGCATATTTAGGGGATATTTTCTTTTTTAAATTCCATCCACTACTTGAACCAGTATTGATCTATTTGGAAGTGTCAAATAATTTTAAAAAATGGCAGGGTGCTTTTCTCTTCAGCTGTTTATCACCTGTTTATTACCTTGTAATTCTTGTTAAAGTGTTGGACACAGAAACAAGAATTTGGGAAAATTCAAAACAAGAATCCAGAACAATATATTAGCTATTTCAGGTAACCATATCAATCACTTTGCTATCATTGGAAAAAAAAATAAATAAACAATTTACAATCAATTAGTATCTCAGGGCTCACCATGTTCTTTTTTCTTATTAGGATGGAGTCCTTACAGTCAACTTGGGAGGTAAAATTATTTTGTTTTTATTACACAAATTAAAGACAATTCTCATCCTTGCCCAATATGCATATTCTTAAAAAATTCTTGAACTCCAAGTCTCTCATCTGCCTTCTCTTTGAAGTGAGGTTTTTCCAAGTGATATCATTAAACTCTAAATTATCCCAGAGGTATCTGAGAACTAGCTTGAGACATATGTAAAGGGAACTGAGTCATATTATACATGTAATTGTTTGCTTAAAAAAAGAAGAGGTTTGATTTAATTGTGTTCTTTCAGCTGGACGTGGTACCTATGTGATCAACAAACAAAGCCCTAACAAACAAATATGGTTGTCCTCTCCAACAAGGTAAACAAGAGACATTTACTCTAGGTCTACCTTTTCACTCTACTTGTACAAACTTACTTTTCTCAGCTTTTTTCATCATGCACTTCTTTTTTAAACTTTTTGGAGATTACTCAGAATTGTTAAAATTCTGTCTATTCTGTTAAATTTCAGTGGTCCCAAGAGGTATGATTTCAAAGATGGTTCCTGGATATATACACATGATGGTGTTTATCTTCATGATCTTTTATCATCAGAGATTTCTGTGGCACTTGGACATGAAGTGGACTTTACTTCACTAACATATGGTGGAGCAGATGGAAAGCTTAGTTGATAAAGAAAATTAACCAATAAAAAGCTAGGCATTCATTTTCACAAGTTAGCTCACAATAATTACTACATAAAGACCATTACAGCTTGGAAATCATCTTTATTTATGGCAATGTTAAAAACTTCTAAATTATCCAAAGCCTGTTATCTAATATTAACACAGAATGTTTGAAAAATGTGCTGAGGAGTAGTACTCAACAATTAAGTTTCAACTCAATTATTTTGAACTTAAGAGCCAAGATTGTAAAAGACTCTACTGGTAGTAAGGGTAATCAGATAATTTTTCCACAAAAATGTCAACAGAGAAAGTGCTTATGTGCAAATTGAATTTGCCTTTATCTTAAAAAGTGATGGTATTTTCTTACAAAAATAACTTGTATTGAGCTTAGATTCATTTATTACTCAAGTCCTGGAGACTATTCCTTGCAATAGTTTTGTCATTTTCTTTTTTCTTTTTAAGAATGTAATCTTTATACTTAAGTTGTTTTTAATTTTGAAATTTCATCTCTGCATCTGATGATATTAACTAAAACACAGTGTTTGATGTCTCTTGTATCATGAACATTGTGTATGGTTCTAATTAGAACAAATGCTAAACAGTGCAGAGTCAATGTGACCATGCTTTTCATCGTCAAATGGTTGGTATCCCTGTAGTCTTGCTATTCTGAGAGGTTCAAAGAGTGGAGAAGGGAATGAGTCCCAGTCATACCAACCCCAACCTAAAGACAAAAACCAAGCAAATAAATAATTAACAACTTATATCACTTCTACAGACTCTTACTTTGTTTATTGTACTGTGTAGGTACTAAGTGACTGATTGCTTATGCAAGGATAACAATAATGAGTTTTGAAAATGGGAAATGCAGAGGGTTAGTGGTGGATTAAGTGGCCTGGGTTCAAGAAGTGGCTGGGTTGCTGCATTGTGTTCTTGGTTAAGACACTTAGGTCTGATTATTTAAACAAAGCTTAACTGTTGTTTAACAAAGCTGTGTCCTAAAAAATCCCTCAATTTAGCTGAACCTTTTATCTAACCATCTATTTATGTGAACAGCCCCAAGAGGGCTGAAAGCTAACAGTGGAATTTAACTTATAGAGAAAGCCTGAGGCCCACTGATTACGTAAAACTGTGGTTTGGGTAAGACCTCCTGCAAACTGATGCAGAAACTGGACAAAAATTGGGGGTAACCTTCAGAAGGAATGACATTCTGTTCATCGCAAAAAGAGAGACATAAGTCCAAGCTTTGTGTTACATAAACTGATATAAGCTCTGGCAGGGTTTGCTTTCTAGCTGAAGAGTAGATGTTTTCTTTCTCCCCTCACCTTCACACTTGTCTGGTTCCAGGTTCTTTGGTTCTTTTGCCTGGCTGTTATCAATTTCTCCTTTCATGAAAATTGTTATGTAATGGTAATCCTCTTCAGGAACGACTGCATTTACTACAGTTCCAAATGAAACATTCTTAATCTTCAGTCCGGTTTCCTCTAATGTTTCTCTTGCTGCACATTCAGACCATTCTTCACTGTTGATAAATTCAGAAAACTTGATGCGATCATTGCTGGCTGAGTGATAAATTAAAGAATCCTTACACAGGTTAATGTTGGAAACTGAGTCAAAGTTCTCCTTGGTGCCAGAATTTATGAAAATTCCTTGAAAAGCAGATATTTTAGATGTTTTGTGAAGTGTTACCTTGCTATATTCTCATGTAAATATATCTCTTAATGAAAATCTTGATTGTATCCATGTTAAACTATCTCTAGGTCAAAGAAAAATCCAAGTGAAAGCTTCTTTATAATATATCTTTATGGGATGGACTATTCCAAAAGCAATGGTCGATGAGTGAAAGAGTAAGAAAGATGAACATTTTAAAAGTATAGAAAGGAAGTACTTGAGGATAAACCAATGCATTGACTCTCCAACTCATTTTGCTTGGTGCACAAATTTGAGGTGAAATTTTTAGTCTGCTTATTATTCCCAGGCCCTTCCCCACCCTTCCTGCTTCCCACCGTACCCCCAACCCCCACCCCCGTCTGAAGTTCTTTTAGGGCTCTCTACCTCACCAACTGGCATGCGCTGTAAAACCAAATTCTCAAGGGAGAGGTCCATTTCAAACCAATGGTTGACGCATTTTTAACTACATCTCCCACTAAAACGGAATCAGCACATCTCATTGCGTAGGCAGGATGGCAGATAATAACTTACATAATTGTGTATTTTGCAATTACCGGTAATTTATAACATAAAGTAATATTTCTCACCCAAATTCCAAATGTCCTCCAGGTAACCCATACTTCCCACTTCCTGATGAGCCTTTTCTCTGTCCAACTATGACACAGTTAGGGTGATCAGATGAGATTATAAACACCCCAACACCGACACCGACTTTACGTCGAGCGCTTTTGTCCGCCATCTCTGAAGTTGGCGCGAAATAAGAGTCGCAAGAGATCTGGGAACTGCTTAGAAACGCGCCTGCAAGATTTTGTATTTGAGACACAAAGATGGACGACTACGAGATGATAATTTTGCAATGATTTAGGAGAAGTAGTAAGCAAAAATGCCGATACAGGTGAAGGACTACGTTTGGGAGGAAACAGATGAAACGGTTTCGATTACTGTTCCTTTGAAAGGAGTGCCGTCAAATCGAGTGGATATTTTTTCAATTGACGATTATATCAAGGTTAGTTGTGAATGTGTGCAGTCTGTCAAGATAGATTGAAATGGGAAGAGTTCCCAATGTCACATTTTATTGAAGAGAAAATATTAATAGAGTATCGCCCATAGGCTAGCTATCCTCCGTATATCTTTGAAGTCTGCCTGTTCGGTGAAGTCGAAGATACTAAGAGTAAGGCAACATTTGGCAGTGGAGTTGTCAAGTTTCAATTATTAAAGAAGAGCTCATCCAAATGGAATCAGTTACATGCATCAGAATCAGAGGACAAAGAATTCATGAGAAAGAAACGAGAGGAAGCTGTTGGTAAGGCGCATGAGAGAGCTGAAAAAGAAATACAAAGAAAAGCAGCTGAGAAACGAGAACAAGAAAAATTGGCACTTCAAGAACAGATGAAGGTTTGGTGTATTGAAATTCTGTAGAGATAGCGATCATGCATAGCACTAGTTTTCCTTTGAACTGATTTTAGAGCAGTTTGGTCTGAAATGACGTGCATGATTTCCAAATGCCCTGTGCAAGTCCAATGTAAGATCACAAGTATAATTTGAGACCAAAATTAATCAACACAGAGTTCTAGTGTCTCTTTATTAACAAAAGACTAAAACTTCTTGTGTTTGTGTAAATGTCAGCTGGAACAGGAAGAAAGAGCTCGAATAGATGCCATAAAGGAAGAAGAACGTAAAAAGGCAACTGAGGCCATTGAAAGATGGAAAGAAAATCAAAAATTGCAGCCTACAAGCATAGAAGAAGAGAAAGTCGCTTCGAACAGTAATGTAAATCAATATGAAGACACCAACATGTCTGCAACAAAAGCTGACCTAGAGGTGGGAGAGTATCAAGAGCCACTTCCAAAACCAGCTACAAAGAAACTGGCTCCTTACAACAAAGAAAGGACAAATGGTACAACTGTCAATTTTTATGGTGTTACCCGCTACAAAATTAAGGGGATTGGTAGAAAATGAAGGTAGCTTTTTAAACCTTCTCATAATCTCTTGTTTCCTTTTCTTTGAGATCTGTTGTTTACAAACCATGCACATGTATTTATTTGAATGATACTCTTTAGTTACCTTGCTCCAGTTTGTTGTTCTGACAATGTAGTCTCCATCTTTAGAAAAAAAGAAAGACTTCCTTGAAAAGACAGTTCCAGAACCAAGGGCATCTGGCTCCATTTCAGTGTCATTCACTCCTCGTGTTTTCAAAACAGCTGCAAGAGAATCCAAAGCACCAGAAGAAGAAGAGGTAACTCATCTTTATTGTTAGTTTAATCTGTAAGTCACAATCTTCCTCCAGTTTTTATTTTTGTTTGTGTGTGATTGCTTCTACTCCAGTTTCTTATGATAATCATGTAATGTTCATTGAGAAGCTATTCTACTGTGTACAGCTCTTAACTCTGAAACAGACCATCCACCACCACACCCCACCCCCTCCTCCTCTGCTTCTCAGGTCTTGCATTGGTCTAAGCATCTCACATTTCATAGTATAGGGTGTGAGATGAAAATTAATGAAATACTTCCAATTAAAGAGTTGACCCTTAACTTAGGGATCAGACATTTGACACCATCAGAATTTGTGAGGATCCAATCCTTTCTGTTCAGTGGTTAAACATGAAGATTTGTTTTTGTTCATAGTGGCTGAAAAAGATGGCTGGTGCAAGCCGAAAAACAGATACTACCAACACTGATGCTGTTGACATGGAAGAAATGAACCCAGTGTGGTTAAAAGACAAAGGAATGTGAGTTTGCTCCCTTTACACCCCAACATCAGTATAGTTACATATTCTCCAGACTGTCCTCTAGATATTTCCTATGGATTGTGAATGAGAATTTGTATAAAAATCCAGAGCTTCTTTAATCAGTGATCATTCTCTTAATTCTCATGACTTTGTTGTTTGATTCAGCCATGATTCTGTTAGGGAGAAAATTAAAAGACAGTCACTTCTAGGGGCTAAAAGGGTTACAATGAAGACAGGGTAAATGATATCTTAACTGGTATAAAACATACAACAAAAATGGACAAATGAGCAAAGAAAAGAAAGGAAGAAAAGAACAAACTTCATCACAGGAGGGAAGTATGATCAGAGCATATCACTGTGGAATGTTTTGAAAACAAATCCATAGGTATCACAACAACCCACATGAGCTCAAAGCTGAAATTAAGCAAACACCCTGAAGCTAGTGCAAATGATCAAAACTGCTGAATATTACTTATCTGAATTTTTTCCTTTTACTTTTAACATTCATTAAGTCAAATTTTATTGAACTTAAAAAGTACTTTAAAAGTACTAACTCCGTTCAGTGAATCAAATTTATAGTGAAATTTCTCTTAATTTTATGTTTTTGACGTTCCGTTGGCAGTGGGTTTTACAAGGCTGGAAACTTTGTAGCAGCTATCAATGCATTCACAGCAGCCATCGTACTGGATGACTCAATACCATCGTATCCTTTAATTGAAGAAAACTAGTTTGCTATCACACTCTTTCCCAGTCCCAAACCGTCTGTTACCTTTCTCTCCTTAGCTCAGTTCAAAAGAGGAGCTCAAAAAACAGTTCTCAGAATACTTCCCCATCTTATATTTGATAGCAATTAGTTGTAAGGAGGAAAGCTTTGCGAGAGAGATTGAAACGCTTTCTGGAAGAACTACTTAGATATAAAGACTATGAACTCACTATTTTCGCAAATCACCCAAAGATAAACTTACCCCGGTCTTAGAAAAAGTTCAAAGATAAGAATAAGACAAGTTCACCAAAATATTAAGATCGTAACAAATTCAAAAAGAGCACCGTATCATCTTAATGCGAGAAAACGTTGGACATAGGGGAGAAGGGAAACGGTGGCCGAGGAAGAAAAAAGATTCGCCTTGTTTTTGTATTTTTTTTTATCACGTCTTTTTCGTCAGTTGTTGAACTACTTGTTACACAAATAAGAACGCCTTTTAATGAAAAGAAATATAATCACGAGTGTTTTTGTAACGTGGATGCGACAACTTAGACAAATACGGGGTGTAGCAAAATACTCGGATGAAAATGAGATTCTCTCCTTGACTTTGTGAAGGTTATATTCTAACCGTGCTGCATGTCATCTTCAATTGAAACAGTACAAAGAGTGCATTCAAGACTGTACAAGTGTAAGATTCTCTTCAAATTTTCAGCTTCTATTTTTTAGTACAAAGTGAGTTTTATTTCATTTGAGTTTACTTCTGATGACGTTCGTTCCACAGTCACTAGAACTCCTTGTTCCTCCGGTTCCGGCCAATTGTGCTTCCAGATGTAAAGCGCATGTCAGACGAGGCACCGCGTACATGCAATTACAAGAATACGTGCTCGGTGGGTGAACGGGTTTTCATTACGGTTTTCATATAACCTCGGAAATTATAGTAAACTTGGAAAAGTCTGATCGTAATTTACACTTGAATGATTAAACAAGAAAGGGCTCCATTATTCGCCAGTGTTTGGGATTTCTGACGTTATAGTTTTTGTGTATTATACACGCCTTTTTTTGTGTGTGTAACGAAAGCTTTTTGAAGAAATCGTTTGGTTAAAGTGCGAGGTCGTGTTATAAATCATTGCATAGACTGCCACTAAGCAGATGATTCGGTCACAGAATAACAGTGTACAGCCGCCCTTAAAGAAAAAAATTAAGGAGTTGACAGACCCTAAAAGAGCACCAGCTTTCGCAGTAGCAACTCTGACATATCTTTTAAATGGGTTATCAGCTTTTTTCTTTTTTGTTTTGTTTTGTTTTGTTTTTTCATTGAACGTGAAACAACATCAGAACAGAGATTAGAAGAATTTTGCAGTAGGAAGGCCCCAAACATGAGTATCGACCTTGGTTTCATTTTCTTTGTTTTCTTAATTTATTTTCTTTCAGCTCTTCAAGACTATGAATCAGCTCTCAAGCTTGACCCTAAAAACGTAGACCTGAAGAACGACTCAGAGAGAATAAGAAAGATCATTCAAGGCTCCACATAGCTTCAGAATAAATTATGTCATCGAATGATGATGAAAAAGTCGCACTTTCTGTAAGAGTCTGATGCTTTCGGTCTGAGGAATAGACCACTTTGATGAGCGAATGAACCTTAGACCTGAAATTCAACAATGGACAGCGATTTGTGCATTAAATTATTTGTACAGGGTTAAACTGCTCTATGACTTAGCTGAAGCATACGCAATGTTGAAAAAATCAATGAAAAATTTAAATTTAAAGTATCTCAGCAACCATTGATGTTTTGGAAAAGGTGAAAATTCCACCGACAGATCACCTCACCGTTCGCTTTATCCCGAGATCAAGACTCGAGAAATCAAAGAAATACAAAATATGTGATTCTTTTTACTGTACCAGTGTGCTTCCTTCCCCTCAATAGAATGTCAATTTTAATAAAGAAAAATGCCCATTCAAACTCTGAAAATTGTGACAGTATTTTTACTCTTAATAAAGAGGACAAGACGTGAAAACAACTTTTTTTATATACAGAAACTCTTCCAACCGCAAAATAGTTTACGCGTGCCAAACAGTTTTATGCTCATTTTCACTAAAGTGCGTCCAATTACCGAGCCTTTCTTGCCGAAACTGTGACTCTTTCCGGAGTAAGCTTGAAGAAAAGGTTCAAACTCTCATTTTTGTGGCTAACAACCGTGTAACATCTCCAGTATTGAGTTTCTACTCATTAGACGTTTGCCTTAAATACCTGAGGTACTTTTCAAGTTAGACTACGAGCAGTCCCTCCTTTCGGGCGAAGTCCGTCGCGCGAGTCAGAAAAAATTAGTGGAAAAAAAATTGATGTGCTTTTTTTTTCTTTTCCGCTTTTTGACTTGCACAAGGAATCCGCCGAAAAGGAGGGACTAAAAGTGTGGTCAGAATGGTAATTTTGCGGCGAGGTTTATGGAAAAATACATGCTGTAGTACAAGACGTAGTTATCCAGATTTTAGTACCCAGTCCCAAATGAAGGAAAAGAAGAATCAAAATGGAGGGACGCTCAAAACGATACAAAAAGATTGATTTTTTGGGAGAAGGACAGGTACATAATGAATTTAGTCATGCGATTAGATACCTAATGATAACTTTTAAATGTTTCCCTTTGTTTGTGGTTTAGTTCGCCACTGTATACAAGGCTGAAGACCAGGAAACTCATGCGATTGTGGCAGTGAAAAAGGTGCGTAGTACTACACGCAGAAATATGTCGTTCTTAGGGCTATCAACAACTAGACAAATCTTAGTTATCGTTTCACTTTTATCACTTGATTTAAAAGGTAAAAGACTCATAGATGGGAAGATATTGCAGTTATAGCTACTAGTCAGGGGCTCTTAAAGAAGAAAACATTTTTCTGAATGTTCGGGAATGAATCTATCGGATACTTTGTTGATTTTGACGCTGGAAGAAGCTTGAAATTGTCAGGCCTCTTTCCTCAATTTATTTTTATCTGCAGAGCATTTTCGAGGATCACTTCCTTACTTGTAGGACGTCTACTGCTGTATTGCTTGTCCGATAATTGATTGGTCACCGTTGCGGTTTTTAATACCCTGCATAATAATTTTATGTTCCTTGCAGATCAAACTTGGTCAGAGGAGTGAGGCAAAAGATGGTAAGTACATCAATAGTAGCAACTCTTAAGAAGATCGAAGATCAGATTTTCCAAACTAAAAAGTGCCTAATATTTTTGCTCATCATCACTCATGGTCTTGAGTGAAATTTTCCTCTGGCATAACCTTGGACAACCCCCTCCCCCCTCCCACCCTCCTCCCTTATACCATCTCTCTTTTCTCTCAATGATCCATGTGAAGAGAAGTTGACAACTAGTTGCTGAAAGAAAACTATTAGATGTGTTAAAAACCATCAAGTGTTGTTTGCTTTTCAGGAATCAACAGAACTGCATTGCGAGAAATCAAACTTTTACAAGAGCTGAGGCATCCAAACATAATTGGGGTAAAAGAACATTAAATTCTCTCAACTCGACATTAGCTATATGTTTTAAATACACTATTAATACATTGCTATTATTAATTGTTTTTATGCTTTGCATAAAATTTTGGCATTGTTGTTTCCAAGTAGTTTAAATTTCTTCAGCCCCAGATGTCATTCATCAAGATAGCTATAGAATAGAACATCAGATTAAGCAGGATTTTCAGTCCAGTTCTGCAGAGCCCGTGGTCTTTTTAGGATCTTATATTAGCACCAAACACATATAATTTTCTCCTTGTTGTATCTTCACAGCTTCTTGATGTATTTGGTCACAAGTCCAACATCAGTCTTGTATTTGACTTCATGGAAACAGATCTTGAGGTAATTTAGTATTAAAGCGACCCTATACATTAGCCTTTTTTTTTGTCTAATTTGTGGGTTCAGTAACAATATCATTGGAAAAAAAGTAACAGTTTATTTTAATTTTGAATTATGTATTTACCATTATTTCAGGTTATAATAAAAGATACAAGTATTGTACTAAGCCCAGCAAATGTCAAAAGCTATATGATAATGACATTGCAAGGTTTGGAATATCTTCACATGAACTGGATCCTTCATAGGGTAAGTATACAAAGGAATAGTTCGCTTGAATGAACAAAGACCTGTGTGAACTAGCCATTGCTTGAAAGTATCAGGCAATTCACCATTGACTGACAAACCTGAGTATAGCTTATGGTGGAAAAAAGTGTCATTTAACTCATCATGTTTTTACTTCAACTTTGCAGCTTCTTCTGCAGTATTTTTATCTTCATATTTCCATTTATAGCCCTAGCCAAAAGATTTGATAAGCTTAGAATAGCTAGGAACTTGATGTGAATTTTTTTCTAAGATATTAACCCTTTACTCCTTAACATCAGTATGCATATTCTCCATACTACTCCCTAGACATTTCCTAGGGTTTTGACAAGGAGAATTTGTTCAACAATCAAGATCTTCCTTAGTTGGTGATCATCTCCTTTATTCTCATGACCTTAATGTTTGATTCAGGGATGATGTTGTAAGGAGAAATTGGATATTAGTCACTCTTAGGGGTTAAAGGGTTAAGAAAGGAACATTATAGATGAAATAAGTGTTAAAAGGGAAAGATTCACAGACCTCAAACATGTGGTTATAACTGCTGTTCATGTTTGCATTGTTTACCCTCAGGATATGAAACCAAATAATTTGTTGATTGATGATAAAGGAGTTTTGAAGATTGGTGATTTTGGACTTGCCAGATCTTTTGGAAGTCCCACAAAGGTGTATACTCATCAAGTAGTGACAAGGTCAGGACTTTTGAATCAATTTTTTTTTTTCACAGAGTTTTTGATTGAGATCTGAAATACCCAGCAATACAACTATTTCTTCAATCTTGTTTGTTGATGTAGCACTCCATAAAGGGTTGCAAAGACTTTGGTGACTCATTCTTCTTTTCATATCTTTTGCAGGTGGTATCGTCCCCCTGAGCTTCTGTTTGGAGCAAGAATCTATGGTACAGGTGTGGATATATGGGCTGTTGGTTGCATCTTGGCTGAGCTTCTTCTGCGGGTGAGTGAATTTTTCTGTAGGTCAACAAATATTAATTTATTAATTTTAAAAGGCAAGTTATAGCTTTGATAATTAAATATGTGACTATCCTTAATTTGATATCATACAATGTGTCACTTTGAACAGTTCTTCCCATTTATTTATTTTCTGTTGCAGCTTATTAAATCAGTTATAACAAGAAGTTTGTTTCTTCAATTTGTGCAATTATTTGCTTAATTTTTGCTTGTGAAAATTCTAAAATATTTTTCTCTCCCTGTTTATCATTTAGGTTCCCTTTTTACCAGGTAGTTCTGATTTAGATCAACTCAGCAGAATATTTGAAACTCTTGGTACTCCATCAGAAGATTCCTGGCCAGTGAGTAACATTCAGATTCATTTAATTACAATACAATATTTGTTATTGATCTTCTCCTATAGGGGATATTCAGGGACAATACAATACAGTAAAAAGCAAAAACAGTTAAAAGAAAATTGGCTAGATGTTAACCCAGTGGGCTCCAATATTTTTTCTTTTTTTTTTTCTATGTTAAAAAAATCATATATTTCTTATCTACCCAAGGGTGTCACATCTTTACCAGACTATGTGGAATTTAAGAAATTCCCTGGGATTCCTTTAAAGGACATATTTTCTGCTGCTGGTGACGACCTTTTGGATATGCTCGACAGATTGCTGGATTGCAATCCTGCTGGCAGAGTAAATGCAACTCAGGTAAATTTTCCAAAAATGCTTTAAAATCCACTCATCTTGCACTAACTGAGAACATCGTTTTGGCTGGTAATGGCTCATATGCTTTGGTGAATGATCAAAACTGCAAACCAATTGGTCAAGATTTAAGTCCTGCCAGCTGTTGTGTTAGTAATGATACACCATTCTAATGCTCCACTCACCATGAAGTAAAAGTGGCAATGGCAGTGAGGGGTTGATGAACTGGGATCTCAACAAGGATGTTGCTGGTAAGGCCTGGGTGTAAGAGAACCCCCTCCCCTCCCCTCCCTCTTGTGTGAGAAAGTGATAAAATTATGATTTTAGAACAACTTGCATGCTCCTGAAGTCCTGTAAAAATGCTGGTGATAATTAACCATCCTGTTAAGAATTTCTGACCACACTCCACTTCACATTAGAAGAAGTGAGACAATGAACTCAGCTAGATGGTCACGTAGCTTGTGGATATACTTTTGCATCAAACTTCTTTAAAAGAATTATTGATTCCCTCCAGGCTCTGAAGATGCCATACTGTTCCAACAAACCCGTCCCTACGCCTGGGCACCTACTGCCACGCCCTAAGATATCGGCACCCGCAGGTAGTAAAAAGGAGGAGGAAAACTCGTTGAAAAGAAAAATGGTTGATTCAATGGCTGATTCAGGTGATAATCATGAAGATGTTAGTTAACTAGTGTATGTTATGTGATATTCTCCAAAGTATTCTTGGATTATTTCCTCAAAGACCAGACACATGAAGGCTGGTTTCTTCCTGATTGCCGAGATTAGCGTATCATTTGATTTTTAAGCTCCTTTCATTTACTTCATTTAGAAATTCCTATAAAACGTCTGGTTGATCCAGGACTTTGACCAATTTTAAACGATCTTTTGCATGCAAAATTGTTCCGTGTAAAAAAGGAAGCATCGGGCCGTCACCATCTCTGAAAAGTAGCACATAAGCGCTGATTTAAGCAGGAGTCCTTTATTAGCTGAATGTGTAATTTTTGCTCTTTCATTTTCTAGGAACTATCAGAGCAAAAAAGCTGGTATTCTAGTGTGATTTCCGTCAAAGGCAAAGAATTATCCATTTATTGTTTCCCAAGTTGTACGAACCACGTTCCAGCGTGGCAAACTCTCGTTTAGGGATTTTCATGTTGTGTGATATTTGACACGAAACGACCGACGAGGAGGACATCAACCACGCTATGGCCATTGGCTAAGCGTTCTTTCAGTTCAGGATGGCCCTCAAAAGAGCAAGTTGAACGATGATCATGGAGAGCGTACAATAATGTCCTCGCAACCGAAGTTTCGGAGCTAAACTTTGACAGTTGCGCATGCTAAGCGAAACTGTCGTTGAAAGTACCCTATTCACGAACACCAGTTCACAAGAACATCTAACTCAAGGAAAGCGCCACTGTCCCTTTTTCATGATAGTGCCAGTTTCCCGCTCGTGCGTATCAAAAAAGGGGAACCACAGGGGAGGAGTCGGCCCAAAATTTCGCTTTGAGAGTGACATTACGTTCACCCGAAAAATGGTCAATTGTTTAAAAAAAAAATGGCGCATATTATAGGTAGAGTTAAGTGGAGACGTGAAGCTCTCGTATTGATTTTGGAATTGAGAAGTGCTCGCTGTATGTTAATGCAAGCTATGATACTCATAAATGTACATACCGTAGATGAAAAAACGAATCGACGTCAACATTTAATTTAAGAAAGATATAGAAACGTGTGTGTAGACATGCAACAAAGAAAAAAAACCCTAGTTACTGAAGGAAGTAATTCTCTCAATTTTATATATTGTTAGGATCATCAATTTCTGAAGATCGAAAATGGTGGTCTCTGCAAATCAAGTCTTCCATAAAACGCAATGGATTAAATGAACGAGTTGCCAGTAATCGGATCCTTGTGTTTGCGCACAGAATTCTGGGTTCGCCACGAGGCAAACACTGCAACTCGCTAGAAGGAAATGTTTGGCGAAAGGTTATTCCGACGACCAAAAGAACGATTTTGGAGAGAGATGGTTGCTTTTTCGCCGCTGTTTTATCATTATCTTGTCTTCATGCGTGCGCAATGTGTGTTGTGAATTTGACATTGCGTAATGGTGTCGAATTTAGAAAAACTAACTATAAATTGCCAAGAAATAACTCGACAAAGCCTTATTATTCTTATGGACGTGTTTAAAGTCTACCTCTATCTTTTTTTGTGGCTTGGTTATACAACAGAGCGCTGGAAATCTGCTTAAAGCTGAACCCTTTCTTTTGTGATGATGGGTAGGTACAAATGGGTCGCCTAAGGAGCGATCAACAACTGATTACATGTCCACAGTTTCTGCCGAGGTTCCCGTGATCTTGCTTTTCCTGACAAGATCCTCCAAGAAGTTCGAGAAGAGAAGTTACAGCTCAAAGACTTGGATTTTTCTCAAACAAAGTATCACTTGACCAAGGGACTTCCTCATTTTTTTCATAAGTTATTTCATCCTTTCAGAGAACAATAACTCAGTAAAGAAAATTTCCATCTCCGCTGACAACGACCTCTCTCCTTTAGGGAGGTGTATTTTCAAACGTCGTAATTTGTCTATTTAATACGTTAACAAGTATAAAAACAGGCTGTTCACGCAGAAATACAACTGAAAAGACTGAAATGAGTCATTTCCTTGCAATTTATTGCTAATTTTGAAATATTTTGAGACCATTACGCGATGACGATTCTACAATTAATCATAACCATTACAATTTCCTTACATGTGACTAGTGCATCAGCTGCTCTATATTTCACTAATCACTTTGTAAAGTTGTAATCGGACTGTTGGCTGTAATCGGACACCTGTAAGCGGAAAGTTGGAGGAGCCAATCATACTAATTCCACTCAGCTGAATCTACCAATCACAGAATTGATCACAATAACCATAGCAACAACCACTTACCCTAAAAAAAAAAAAAAAGCTGGGAAATTTCCTTAATTTTTTTGCGTTAGACATTGTCCCTACTGGAGATGTCCCTACTCGTGATTGTCAAATCGGACTCCCGCTTCGCGGTCCTCCGATTTTGTTAATCACTCGTATGATTACAGAACGAATTGGACTCCACTCGGTCCTATTACCATTATAAATCCTATGCAAGGAGAGAAGTCTATCGGTCTATTTTAAAGCATATTTAGTGGTAATTGTAACAAAAACTTACACTTCCCTCGCATCGACATTATCTTAGCCCATTTATGATAAAACTGCGGCGAAAAAGCGATAATCACTCTCCAAAATCGTTTTTTCGGAAGTCTAAACAACCTTTCGCCATATTTCAAGCGAGTTGCAATTTTTGCCCCGTTGGCCCAAGGATCCGATTACTGACAACTCATTCATTGTTACTTAAAGGAAGTAACGACAACGCTCGCCGGTAAACCCCTTTCATAAACACCTGTTACATTGTCCAATCCCAAACCTATTACGCGTTGTAATATTTTGCGTTGGAAAGCTCTCACTTAATGATCCCGATCTCGTCTCCAGAAAAGGCCGTGTTTGTTCATGAATAGGGGTGAGCTGTAACCAGGCCTTTTTCTTCTCTTTCATGGTGGGCAATTGGGAGGAAGAGAGGAAATCCGCACAACGCTCTGTTGAGCTCTGCGGAAACCGGGGCGCGGTTGGAATTCAACTGTAAAAGGTAACATCGTCTGGGAAGCAATTGCAATTGATACAGTATGGAGGATGAGTGAGAGCAGGACAGCTTTTCCAACACTGACGCGTACCTTGCACGATTAGAACCAAATTAATCTCGTACTCAGATCTAACGTTTAACTGTAAATGTAAATCAATATACCGTGTTTACCCCATCCCCAGAGAGACACCTCGCCTTTATCTACTGTCCTGATCAGATTCCAGATTCCGACGTCAAACTTGCGAAAAGCTGTGATACCTAAATGATCGACCGTAACCCAAGTTTCTCCCGCGGCCGTGTCCAGTCTGCTTGATTTTCGGTGCACAAACCACCTCAGCGTGGACAACGGTCGAAATCGTAGTGTGCAGCCTTGACTTCGTCTTTTGACATATATAACAGTGATGGTAAAGCAAGCTTAAAACAGCAGAAATCGCCGGAAACTACAACGGACACACAGGATGTGAGAATGTGTTATTGATTTTACGTGTAAAATATTCATATTTCGAAATGTTTATCGTTGTAAATCGACTATATTTCGTTCCCCATACTATTCCTTATAACGTATTAAAATTTTCAACGGTTCCTCTCGTAACTTAACAGCGAGTCACACAATGTGTGACGCGTTCATGAATTGATCGTTGCCTTTTTCTCGAGACGTGAGCTTAGGCCGCCTGTGATTATTCTATTCCTCTCGAAACGTGAGCTCAGGATGTGTCTGCATAGAAAGCGAAAGAAAACTATGGAAAGTCCACCTCGATAGTCTGTTAAATTTCCATCCTCCTTGACAACGGAAACACCCCTAAGAAGGAAGCCTCGCGCCAACTAGACATAAGCGAGGAAAAATATTATCTCCTTTCGTCTTGCTCCTCTTGGGTCTGTTAAATTGCAATTAAAGTGAAACACTTTCAGATAATCCCGACATAGGCTTCATGCGAAAGGCTCTTTGCGAACCTTCAGGGTGAAATTGACGGCGAATGAGGAACACGAGTAAAAGTACCATCATTGTCCGCGACACATGTGGGATTTCGGGGTGACTGGGGTGTCCGGAGCGAATTCACCGTGTTTTGCTTCGGTTGGATTCGTTGGTTAGCGTTACTCACTACTGACGTATCTTAGGTATGGATTATAAAGAGGGAAAAGCAGACGAAATAAACCGAGCTACACCGCCCTGAATCAGCCCACGAAATTCACAAGTTTCAATTGAAAACTACTTAAGCGGGATAATTTTGTCTATAATCAAAACTAATATCGTTCAGGACCCATTTGTTCAAGAGAGGATAACGCTATCCAACGGATAAATCACTATCCAGCGGATACCTGTTAAGAAAACGAACTGCGCTATCCACTGGATAGCGATTTATCCAGTGGATTGCGTTATTCTACCTTTGAACAACAGGGGCCAGACGTTTTAGGTTGAGAGTGCGACCACTTATTCCCATACAAATCCCTATATTTCGCCCACTGCGCAACGTTAACATATTTGCATATTTGTGGAGTGTGTAAGCTTGGGCTGATGGTTGGACATTAACGAAGATTATAACATATTTCTCCTAAACGTAATTTTCTTTATACCTGAAAACGAAATTTAGAACATTGCCAGAGCTTTCTTCACTTTTATTTATTCCATTTGTGTTATTTATTATTTGTGTAAATATTTTGGTTTTCACGGGTTTCGCGGTCAGCAGTGCGCGAAACCAGTCGTCTTTTTCCTCTCAAATATCTACAAAATTCCCACTACGGCACTCTCTGTTCTCAACATTGTTTCACCTTCTCTTCTTATTCCATTTACAAACATGACGCTACCGACATTGCTAATCCTAGCAGTATGCAGGACGCGTGTCATATGAACTTTGCAATAGACCTCGCTTAACGTGGAGTCTCTGTGGCTCATACTGACTATCTTTCTTAATTTATTTAAAATCATGACGCTATCGACATTAGAACGCGTGTCACATGAACTTCGTAATAGACTTCACTTACCGTGGAATCTCTGAGGCTCAGTGGTAGAGCATTAGAGCGCGGAGTCCTTTGGCCTTCCCTTATCAAAAACCCGCAAACAGCGATTTATTCCAATAGTCCCGGGCAGTACTTTCTACTTTGTTACAAAGTTCTATCAATTTTGTTGAATGAATTCCAGTTTCGAAATAGTTTCAATTTGTTTTATTCTTTTGCTAAAAAGTAACAAGTATTGATTTATAAGAACCAAGACTAACAAAAAATAAAGACGAGTTCAATAAAATCAAAAAAGCAATCACACCGGACCTGAATACAAAGCAGCAATTTCTCTCTTTATTTAATTTTGGATTCCATCCCTAATCTTTTCGCCCTACCTCAAGGAGCATAGGTGTCTCCTAGAGGTGAAAAGAGTAATACTTTCAAAAGACTTGAAGATTTTCAATGTGGCGCAGGATCTTCACGACTGAACTAAAAGTCGCTTTACGACTTATTTCCTTAGAAACCTCCCTATTTGTGTAACTGCTTCCGTTGAAGCTAAGTGTTACCGCTTCCGAGAAAAGCTGCACGGGGGCGTCAACCTAACCAAAAAATATTTCGCATGCGGAATTTTGGTTAGGTTGACGCCCCCGTGATTAGTTCTTTTTAGGCAGAAAACTATAGAAAGCGTTTCAGTTCAAGATAAGACCCCGTGTGATCAAGATCGTTTTGCATATAAGACAAGTTAGACTGTAATCCTCGATAAAGTAATCAAGACCCGCGAACGTTGGTTAGCAATAACTTGTATTGTGATTATGTTATCTAGCTCGTAGTCGTTACTCAAAGTAAAATTTATCGCTCGTTTTTTACCTTTCCTTTGTTTCCTTTAATTGCCACGTGCTCGTTTCCAAAATCGAGATTATTCTTAAGCTATGATCACAATACGCTTCGATATAATAACGCCCCAAGGAATAGGAAAAGGAATAAAGAAAGAAAAGATCCTATTTGGTTTGTTGTTTATCGCATGCGCGTATATCAACCCGGGAATCGAATTTACAACTCTAGCTCGAAAGGAAACATTAACAACTAGAACTTGCTGATTTCAAACCCTGTAAACCGGTTTAACATTAACCACAGGCGGCCCAAGCTCCAGCTGTGAGATGATCATCTTGCGCAATAACAGTCA